GAGAATGAATTCCTTACATGCAGAAGCGGGTTAGAAATGCCAGTTTCTTCTCCTCTCACCCATTCTCTTGGCTCCATCTCCTCTCAAGTACTCCAGTGGGTGCAATAACAGTGACTGCACCTGGAGCTAGCAGGAACCAAAATTCTAACACAGGTAGAGTGAAGATTCCAAGAGAACAATCTCTCCTTGTTCAGCTTCCTTCCCTGATCTCTTGAGCTTGACAGTTGTAGGTATACATGATGGGGAAAGCAATCAAAGCCCAAAAGAGAAACTCAAGAAAAAGAGAGTGGGCACACCAGGGAGACTGTGGAGGGTTACAGCAAGAAAGCAGCCCTGCCTGACATTACCCCAAGATATGATCACTTGAGTGTCATCCGAATCAGCAAACCAAAGACCGAAAGAGTCTGGAGGGAACAGCTGGACTGTGGTCCAAGATCCACAGTAACCACTGAGTGGCACACTTGTGGGTCAGGTCTGAAACACACTGAACAGGTTTTGAAAACTAAAATTACTTACATTGCAATGGGTCCCCACAGGAAACAGGTGGGAGATTGTGGTCTCAATTTAACCAGACCAGAAGTTTAACTGATTTCATCATCTGCTACCACGAGAATAAGAACACATCCCATTATATTTAAACGAGATGCTGAGTTTTATAATATTAAAAATGTACTCTGAATTACTGGTCACATAAAGGTTGATGAAAAAATCCAGATCACACAGAGAGAGCAGTCAACAAATAGCACTGTAATCGCACAGGTACTAGTATTATCTGAGAAAGGTTTTAAAGGAGGCAGAAACAAGTTCTCCAACAAGCACACTTAAAATAGATGAAAGAGCCCCAGCAAAGAAATGAATGATATAGGAAAGTGGAAATTTCTGAACTGTAGAATGTAATAGTTAGAACAAAAAGTCATTGAGTAAACCCAAAGATAAATCAATAGAAATTAATATCAATGTTGGAGAGGAGAAAATGTAAAATAATGATAATGATGAACGATGATGAAAACTCTGGGCCACATGAAACACTAACAAAAATTCTCACAGTTATAGCATCAGAGTTCCAGAGGAGGAGAAAAAAATCTGAGGAAAAAATATAACTATAAATTCCCCAAGTTAGCCGGGCGGTGGTGGCGCACGCCTTTAATCCCAGCACTCAGGAGGCAGAGGCAGGCGGATCTCTGTGAGTTCGAGGCCAGCCTGGGCTACCAAGTGAGCTCTAGGAAAGGCGCAAAGCTACACAGAGAAACCCTGTCTCGAAAAACCAAAAAAAAAAAAAAAATTCCCCAAGTTAAATGATATTTATCTATGAATTCAAGAAGATTGAGAAGACACAAGCTGGAAAAGCAGGAAGCTATGGCAGCTCAGATGTCATCAAACCACTGAACTAAAGAATGAAAATGTCTTAAAAGCAGCCAGAGAAAAATGAGACATTGCTTAGAGGGAAGAAGTGAGGCATGAGCTACAGAGTTCTTGTCAGCATGTCATGGACTCCAGAAGGAAGCCATCTGCACTAGAGAGAGCTAGCCAGTGAAACATCTTCAGCAATGAAGGTGAAATCAAGATGTTTCCAGTGACGGAGAGCTGAGAGAATCCATTGGCAGCAGTTGCTCTAGAGGAACACATGTCATAGATAAAAGGGGTATAACCCAATAAGAAGAGGATCACTCACCCAGATGGTGTAATAATCTGAAACATTTATAAGCCCATGATATAATATCAGAATATGCGTACTAAACACTGACCAAACTGCATAGAAAAATTCAGAACTGTGGTTAAAGTCTTCAGCAGACCTCCCTTGGTAATAAATAGGTGAGTGAAACAGAAAACTCAGCCTGGGTGTAGTAGGACTCAACACCACCATCCACCAACTGGAGCTAATTGATTCTTCTAAGACAGTCCATCAAGTACATCAAAATACACATCCCTTTCAAGTGCTCACGGAACATTCACCAAGGCAGACTGTGTCCCGGGTCATAAGTCAAACAGTGACAAAGTGTGAAAGAGTCAAAATGGGAAATACGTTCTTAGCTGGTGACCGTATTAAACTAGGAAGGAGAGACAAGGAGACAAGGTCTCTCAGCACTTCAGAATTAAACAGTCCATTTCCGTAATGCACAGGCAAATGGAAGTCTAACAGGAAGTGAGAAAATAACTTTAGGTAGAAGAAAAATAAAATGAAAACAAAAAAAAATTCATGGGATGCAACTAAAGCAAGAAGAATGGTCTCTAATTAATTAAGCTTCAATTTTAATAAACTAATAAAACAAGCTAAATCTAAAGTGAGAAAAAAAGGAAATGACAATGATAAAGGCAGAAATTAACAAAATTGAAAACAAAAGCTAAAAGGAAAAGCAACAAGAACAAAAATTGATTCTTTCACATGGGCAAAGCAATTAGTTTGGCAGAAAAAAACTAAGAAACTGAAAAAGAAGAGGAAAGATTAGCAGCACCAGGAATAAGACGGACAGACACCAGTGCTGAGCCCTTTACGGACACTAACAGTGCAGCAGGGGAATTGTGACAGCAGAAAATGAGATATGTATAAAAAGAAATGGGCCAACCCCCTTGAAGACCACAGGCTACCAAAGCTCACCCTCATCAGAATAGGTGACACCATAAGGTCTAAACCACTGAAGGTGCTTTCTTGCAGCTTTACTATTTCAGAAGAATCTCCAGCCCCAGATAGCTTGACCTGCAAATTTGACCCAGCATTTGATGATGATGGTGGAGGTGGTGGTGGTGGTGGTGGTGGTGGATGTGGTGGTACAAACCCTATATGATCTCCTTTGAAAAGCAGAGAGTAAAGAGCATTTCCTCATTTAATCAGCACTAGCCTGACACTAAAATCAATCAAAATTCTAAAAACAGAAACCTACAGGTCAATATCAAAAACATGCATGCATAAATCCTCAAGAAAATACCAGCAAAAAATCCAACATTATATAAAATGGTAGTGTGACATGTCCAGACAGGATTTGTCTTAGGAATGTTACATTAGTTCAATATTTGAAAACCAGTCAATATAATCTACCATATTAGCAGTCCATAAAAGAAAAATCACACAGTCATTTTAATTCCAACAAAATAGTTCAACAATATAAGAACAGTTGAAGACAGATGTACATGCCTGTAACCCCAACACACAGGCTGAGGCAAAAGGGTCTTTTCTACATAGTGAGACCCTGTCCCAATAAAAAAGGAGTCAGGGGAGGCACTTGCAAAAAATAACCATAGGCAATATCACACTTAATGGTAAGAGACTTTCTCTGGTGACCTAGAGGAGAGTAAAGATATCCTCTCGTCACCTGTATTCAACATTGCACTAAGTGGCTGTGTGAAAGGAGAAAACATAACTGTCATATTTATGGCTACATGACATTATTGTCATATAGAAAACCCTTAGGAATCTGTGTAAGATTTTCTGGTATTAATAAGTGAATTTAAAATGGTTACAGGATGTAAGAACTTAAAAAAAAAAAAGACTGCATACTGCACTGTAAAGTGGTAAACTAAAATATATTAAATGCCATTTAAAATATTTTCAAACATAAATAATGCATATTGTTGTGGTCTCAATGTGAAATGTCCCCACAGGCTCACGTGTGAACACTTGGTCCCCATCTTGTCGTGGTGTGTTGGGAGTTTCTGGAAACTTTTGGAGACAGAGTCTAACTGGAGAAAATGGGTTTCTGATGGCATATCCCATATCTTACACTGTCCCCTTCTCTCATTCCTTTTTTTTTTTTCCTTCCTGGATCCCATTAGGTGAACAGCCCCATTATCTGTGATATTCTCCCCAAGTCCCTGTAATCCATGGACATGATGAGCCAAAATATTTCCTGTTTGTCACCTGGGGCTATTTGAGAGGAAAGGTTCTTCATTGAGAAAATGCCTTCATGGAATTGTCCTGAAAGCAAATCTATAGGGCATTTTCTTGATTGATGATTGATGTGGGAGGACCCAGCCCATGGTGAGTGGTGCCACTTCTGGCCGAGTGGTACTGGGTTCTATAAGAAAGCAGACTGAACAAGTCATAAGGAGCAAATCAGTAAGCAGCACTCCTCCATAGCCTCTGCATGAGCTCCTGTCTCCAGGATCCTATTTCATGAGGGCTTTTTTTCTTACTTCATAGATGCCCACTTTCTTTGTTATCTCCCATGGCAGGGAGAAAAAGGAGAAGTGTGTTACTTCCTCTTTTTATAAGGACACTAATACAGTCTGAGGGCTCCACCCTCCTGATCTAACTATCTCCCTAAGACTCCACCCCCACATTCCACGACACTGGTGATTCAACTTCAGCACATCTCTGTGTGAATGGGAATAATTATAAATGAATTCATACAGTTTGTTCATGTACAAAAGATTTGACATTTAAAAATATCAATGCTTAACCAAATTTACACAGTATAAACTATTTCTATCAAAATCTTAGCCCAGGTTAGGACATTCTAAATATATAAAGCCAAAGAAGCCAGAATAGCTACATTACTTTTGAGAGAGGCAAATGGGTAGGAAGAATCAGTAAGCCCGATTTCAAAACGTACATAGCTGTAGTAATTGAGACTATGTGGTCCTGGCAGATGGCTAGACACACAGACCAAAGAACAGAGTATGGAACCTAGAAACAGATCCACACAAATTAGCCCAGGTGATTCTCACAGAGTAGAAAAACAATTATAAGGAGAAAAGTAGCTGTTTCTAATTGAATATGCTAAAAGATGATAGCTACAAAGGAAAATAAAACCTTAAATCCCATATATTATCTAGAAATGAGAGATGAATCATGAGCTAAAATGGAAATATAAAACTACAAACTCATATTTTAAAAAGCAGGGAAGATATCTTAGGAAAATTTTCTTACTCTTGGCACCAAAAGTTGTGATCCATAAATGGAAAGAAATTAATAGTAAGTTAGTCTTCATCAAAATTAAAGCACTTGCTCTGCAAAATGTCCCACAAAGAATGAAAAGATAAAGACTGAAAGAAAGTGTCTTCAGACGTGGCTTTGAAGAAGAGCTGGTTCCAGCAGTTTTGTGTGGTGTGCTGTGAGTCCTGCTGCAGTGAGCTGAGCCGAGAGCATGGACAAGCTGGGAAACCATGATTTGAATGCGGTGACCTATGATGATGTGCATGTTGGTTTCACTTGGGAAGAGTGGACTTTGCTGGATCCTTCCCAGAAGAATCTCTACAAAGATGTAATGCTGGAGACCTACAGGAACCTCACTATTATAGGGTACAATTGGAAAGACCATAATATTGAAAAACCTCGTCAAAGCTCTAGAAGACATGAAAGGTATGAAAAAAGCCAAACTGAAGAGAAACTTTCTGTATATACTCAATATGGTAAAGACTCTGCATATGATAGTCAGCGTCAAAGGCATAAAAGATCACATACTGGAAAGAAACCCTATGAAGGTAATCAGTGTGGTAAAGCCTATTCTCATCACAATATACTTCAAATCTATAAAAGAACACATACTGGAGAGACACCCTATGAATGTAATCAGTGTTGTAAAGCCTTTGCTTATCATGGTGCTCTTCGATTACATAAAAGAACACATACTGAAGAGAAAAAAAAAAGACTGAAGGAAAGTATTTGAAAAACATATATCCAACAAAGAACTAGTCTCTAGATGATTAAAAAAAAAAAACTTTTCAAACTCAGCTGTTTAAAAAAGCCAATAAGCCAATTAGAAAATGAAAAAGGGGCCGGGCGGTGGTGGCACACGCCTTTAATCCCAGCACTCGGGAGGCAGAGCCAGGTGGATCTCTGTGAGTTCGAGGCCAGCCTGAGCTACCAAGTGAGTTCCAGGAAAGGCGCAAAGCTACACAGAGAAACCCTGTCTCGAAAAAACCAAAAAGAAAAAAAAAAGAAAATGAAAAAGGGAGACATAAACAGTTTTTTTCTCTAAAGAAGCTATGCCAATGAGAGCACATTCCCCATCGCCAGCTCTGATGGAGGCGCTGGTAAAAGCAATCATGAGAAATCACTACAGACCCATCAGAACAGCTAAAGTAGAGAAGAGTGACTTACTACATGCCAGAGATGCACAGAAACTGAATCACTTGTCCATTGCCAGGGAGACTGTAAGGCAGTGGAGACTCTGGAAGACAAACTGGAACTCTTCCAAAAGAGAACATGCTACTGTCTTCTCATTGCTTAATACTGTTGAGATGAGAACACAATAGAAATGGTGAGCAGGTGACCATGTGCCCAGGGTTAAGGCTAAAGGGCAGGTAGGAGAGAAGTGGACATGGCTAGGAGAAGGCCCTACATCTCTTTGGGACAATGTCAGTGTCATGGTTGTGATATTGTAGCAAACCTTGCAAGGTTTATCAGTGAGGATTGGGAGTAAAGAGTACACCGGGGATCTGAGGAGGTGGTTCAGTCAGAAAAGTGCTTGCCATGCAAACATGAGAGCCTGAGTTCAGATGCTCAGCACCCACAGGGGCATGTTCCTATGATCCCAGCTCTGTAGAGGCAGAGGCAGTAGGAGAAATCATAGGATTCACTGGCCACCCAGTCTAGCCAATTGGTGCACTCCAGGATCAGTGAGAGACCCTGCCTCAAAAAAGTAGAGAAACGATAAAGAAGACACCTGATGCCAACCTCTGGCCACTGTGAGCACCCCAACATATCTGCCCACACACAAACATAAAACACACACACAACCCACATAATCCCTTAGACCTTTTTACACTGTTTGTTACAATTTTATGTGAATTAGTAATTATTTCAAAATAAGAAATTAATTTTTTATAATACATATTATCTTTCTTTGGGGTCTTCTGCAAGAATGACTTGTAATTCTATGAACATTTATGTGATTGAATGCTACTACTTAATAGTAGTAGCCTACTTACTGAATGAAGTATTCGGGGTTAACAAAACTTGATTTTCACTTATGGAAAGTGGAAGGTTACTTTATTACTCAGTTTTCTACTAGGAAAGACACCTGTCAGGCAACCTCTGATGTCTGGAGGGAGCTCTGGGGTGAATACTTAGGACTGCTAACTTACTTATCTGTAGTTTTCCATGTCTCCCACAGGTGCTCTGTTCGATGGTACTTAAACCGCTCATGGTTTTGCCTCACAATCATTAACTGAGTTTGTCAGGCTTGTTTACTCACCTTTGTGTTGTAGAGAAACTCCCACTTGTATTGCAATATGCCCAGCCTACGACTTTCCAACTGGGCTTGCTCAGGTCATATGTGTTGTGGTTTAAATGAGTCGTCCTCACCTGTTTTTCTAAGCAGATCAAGACATGATCCCCAAGAATCCGCTTGGATGCTGACTTTTCCTTGCTCACACTGAATTAGGCCTCCACCGGACCGAGAGGAGCTATTGGATAGAGAGTCTGGAAGGTCTTTTGCTTTGCCTACTAACCACAGCAGAACAAAATCTGAAGATCTTGACCTTCATTTCTCTATTTTGAATAACGCTTTTCTCTAGCTTAGCTCAATACCAGGAAGTCCAGATTGAGGTTGGCAGAAAGAGCAACTCTTTATTTTGGAACAAAAAGAGACCAGATACATGAAACACCAGCTACACAAACAGCCATGTGCGTATTAATAACATTGATTCTGTCTTGCATTCGTGTCTAGGCAGAGGGTCTTCTTATTTCAGCTTAAGGATGCATGGTTAAGAAGAATACATTTTCACTGCCCACAGAACAAAGTGGCCTCTGTCCACCTGCCGATGCCATTCGCATTAGAGAAGGACTCTCTCAGGTTGCTTAGGAATGATGGAGAATGTGTCTCTCATCCAAGAAATGAAATGATACCTTCAGGTGAGTCCAGAGTCTGAATCCTCAAAGCAAGGATTTAGGAAAGCATTTGAGAGGATCAGGTTTAAGCCAAACAATCCTTTAAGAAAGAAATTCCATTCAAGATCTCGTTTTAAAACAGGAAATTAAACAGTCTGTAGAAGGCAAACTCAGAGTGCTAGCACCCTTCCTTCCAACTGTTTGCTGTGTGAAACTCATTGTGGGTCATCTTTGCATTGGAAAATGTTTCAATTTGCTGGTGGTGACCACACAGCTCCTTTAAAGGGCAGCACTCAAAATGTAAGCAAAATGCACCATTTGTGAGCCTTACCAGAGCTATGGCCACTTTAACAAGCCTTGAGCTTCCCTGCTCCCAGGATATTCAGCCCTTCATTAGAATCTGGTTTATTCTCACCATGCCTGTAGCAGCAGAAAAGACCAAATACAGAATCTGAGTTTGTTGAAGCCCTGGATGTGTTAACGTAGTTTATTAAAATTATTTGAGGCCATTCAGAAAGTTGAGTTTGTGAAGCCAGCATCGGTTGGCACACTTTCCAGATGTTTCTTATTTTTAAGCTTTCATTAAGTGACTATCGGCAGAGCAGCTGACACCGTATAAATGCAACAAGATTTGAAACCCCACCCAGTAAATACCTCTTTCAATTGCTTTCAACAAAGCCTTCTCCACAACTGAATTACACATTGTTCTTTCTAAACCCAAGAAGAAAGACTCAATACACATCCTCCGAAATTCCTGCCAGGGCAGAATGTTGGTGCAAAGTCCTCTTGAAGCATTTAATAGTGAATGCTTAAAATTAATCTGATTTTACTGGAATGTTCTTTCTGTGTGCAAAAAAAGAAAAAAAAATGAGAGGTTTAGAGAAAAGTGTTCAACTGGGTCAGGATCTTCACATGTTTTATTCAGAGAGATGCTTGGTGGAAGTGTTGGAAACTGTCCACCATATTCAAGAAACAGTAAAGAGGCTGACGGTAAAGGTGACGAGATGTGGAAAGGAGTGGACAGAGCTAGAGGAGACAAGGTTGGGGTAATATGGACCAGACCTTGCTGAGCTTTGCACCCCTTGGAAGCTTCAGCATTCAACCGTGAATATAAAAGGAACCCAAAGTAGACAAACAGTAAGATACGGAACAGAACATGGAGGGGAGTCGGCGTTCCCGGAAACACAGAGCTCCAAATGGGAATCAGGGAAGGGAACAGATGCCAGGAACTGAGCCAACAATGTGCACCACACACTCGACTTTCCCACAGAGAATGACAGAGAGAAAAGTGTGGAGAGTATGATTTTGAAAGCAAAGACATTCATACATCAGTAACACAAACACACACACACACACACACACACACACACACGGGGTGAAGAGAGAATATTTGCATCTCTAATATACCTTTGTAGCCATGACAAAGTGAACAGCGCAGAGAGAAGAATGGAGAATCAAGTGCTTTCTTTGATCAGGCTGTTTTTCCAAGTGAGGGTTGACCTGAGGAGTTCAGACTGCTCAAGAATATGTGTCCTGAGCTCCACCTGTCCAGTATTTCAAAAAACAGTCAGACTTGGCAGTTAACTGTGTCTACAATTCTTACATAAAATATGTTAAACATCTGTCCCTGATCATCTTAAACATCCCTGCCTTTATTGAATCTGAGACTGGCCCATTAGCATAGAATTTAACAAGTGGGAAGGTTTTTCCCATCCAGTCTTAAGACTATTATTTTGTTCTGAGAGTGTCATGATGCTGCAAAAGATGTGTCTAAGGTTCTGCTGGGTCTCTATAGCATAATCATTCTTTCAGGATTAAAAGGAAAATGTATAATAATTAATCCATGTCCTCATAGGCAGGTATTATCAATTTGGGAGCCACATGAGATGAATTTGGCCCAATTCCTATTAAATAGATGTTCACCCCTGTTTGCAGCTTATGGCTTAGAGATAATTCTTTTTGTCACCAAGAAACTTATTTTCCACGAAAAATGAACTTCTGTCAGTATGAGTATATGACTGGTATGGGACTTCTACTCAGATATCGCGGAAACCTCCGGACAGCCGTGGAGGAAGGCTCTTTCCACACAGAGTGGAAAATACTGCCAATTAGGTTCCATGTATCGGGGACCGGATCAGGCTCTTTGCATGCAATTGTCAATTGTCAACCCTTCACAGTTGTGTGGCCCCAGATAATGTGCATAGTACCTTTGAGCTTCACTTTCCCATCTGTACTATAGAATATCACAGGGTTGTCATTATAAGAATTAAATGAAGATATTCTCTGAGGGTCTCAGAGGCTTCCTCTTCAACCGTGATTGAACAGAACCAATGCTTGACCCTGATGACCCCTAACATTCTGCCACCTCGTAGCCCTGTCACTGCCGTGATGGCCATGTCCCCCTCACAGAGGTGTCCACAGGACTTTTAGAGGCTTCCATCAACAGCCAGATCAATCCCGAGCCATATGCCTCCTGTCTGTCTGTCTGTGTCTTACTACGTCTTCTTTGAAGAACTTTGCTAAATACCTTCTCCTCCAATCCCATGAGCAGAGGCAACACGCCGAGAAACTGCTGAAGCTACAGCATCATTCAGGTGGCTAATCTTCCCACGGGGCATCAAGAGTCAGACCGTGATGACTAGGAGAGTGGGCCGAACCAAAGGGAGTGTGAATCAGTTACTGCTGGAACTGTACAAACTGGCTCCTAACAAAAAATGATCCCACTTTATGTGACTTCGTTGAGACTCGTTATCCAAACTAGCAGGTGAAATCCATCAAAGAACTGGGTGACCAATAGCCAACTTGCACAAGACAGGAGCCCCTGAATCTGGTATG